AATCCACAGATGTAAAGCAATCACAGCCCAAATCCCAACTCTGTGTGTAAGAGAGAAGGAAACTGACAAATCTAGAAGGTGTTCTAGGGCTTAGGGATTTAGCTCAGTGGTAGAGCACTTGACTCTAAGGCCCTGGGTTACATCCCCGCACTATCAAAAAAAAGAGGATGCGGGAGAAGGAAGGACAGAGGAACCTCGTTAAAATTCAGATGATTTAAAATAGCCAACCCAGACATGGAGGCACATGCCTACAGTCCCAGCCACTGCAAAGGCTGAGGCAGGAGGATCACTTGCCCCGGAGCTGCAACATAGTGAGACTCCATCCCGAACAAAGCAACCACCCAAATAAAAAAAAATGGCCAAGATAAAAAGACAGAGTGGGAGGGGACTTGACCTCCCAACATCAGGACTTACTATCAAGCCCCATAATGAAGGACGATAACGACTCAAGGAAAGACAGCAGACGCCTGGAATCTATTCCAGAGGAGAGACAGAGCTGAATGTGAAAATCAGCCAGTAAAGCTGCTGATCTAGAAGACCATAGAAGAGTATCTTCATGACCTATGAGTGTAGACATTTTTGTTAAGCCACAAAAACTCTAAGCATAAAGGAAAAGACAAGCTTGACTACCTTTAAAACAGAATTTTCACTGGGCAAGGTGGTGCACACCCGTGATCCCAATGGCTCAGGAGGCTGAGGCAGGGGGATTGTAAGTTCAAAACCAGCCTCAGCAACTTAGCGAGACCCTAAGCAACTCAGCAAGACCCTGTCTCGAAATTAAAAAATGAAAAAGGGCTGGGGATGTGGCTCAGTGGTTGAGAACCTCTGGGTTCAATCCCTGATACCAATAAATAAATAAAGAGTGAAAGGGAGCTACCAAGTGAGAAAGGGACTTGCAGTCCTGCATCCAGAACACACAAAGAACTCCACACTGACGGGAGACGCCTGTGCGCACAAGACTGGAACAGGCGCACCGTAAAGAAGGTGTCCGAATGGTGGGCGAACAGAGAAGAGGCTCCGCTGGTTTCGTCATCAGAGAGGCTAAGGAAAACCACTGAGAGGCCAGGACCCTCCAGGAGAGCCAGAGGTAGGCGACGGCCAGATCCCAGCAGGAGGGGAGCCCGGAGACCCTGGAACTCCCATCCTCTGCTCGGATGCCCATGATGCAGACTTGGAACACAGCTCAGCAGCGTCCCCTGGGTCTGGATGTTAAGATGTTCACAACTAAGCTCAGAAAAGCCTTTTTTTTGTTTTTTAACCACTCCAGGCCCAAGCCCCTCTGGGTCACATTAGGGGGATTCTAGGACACACAAGTTTCCATGCCTGGAATCAGGATGCAACCAACTCAATCACAGTTTTTTCAGAGTTGCCCTCAACCTTTCAGATTTTCCCTAGCTGCCTCTCCCCTGTGGCACTCTTGTGTGGCTCATAACTATGCTACTGATAAAAACATGTCCCCCACATTGGACTGCAAGCTTCAAGTAAACACTTCAAGGCCACTTCTTCACTACTGTGAATCCCCAAACTTAAATTCCTGGGTCCAAAAGCCATGCATATTTTTTTCTGTTATTTTTGAATTACACAATGCACGAATGAATACATCCTGTTTTAAAACTCAGCAATATATTGCACAAGCCCTCCTAGGCATTCCCTCCACAAGAGCAGCCAGGATCAGCAGTTTGGAATTGCATCCTTCAGACCCTGTTCTTGCACTTATATGCATACGTACGTGCATAAATTACACACACACAACCAATGGTCATAATTAGTTAAAAGCATAAAACTTTTGCTGAAGCAGGAGGACAGCAAATTTGAGGTCAACCTAACAACTCTTGGGGACCCTGTCTCAAATTTTAAGAAAGGGCTGGGGATGCAGCTCAGTGGTAGAGCACTTACCTCGCATATGCAAGGCCCTGAGTTCCTCTTCAGCAACACACACACACACACACACGGGAAAAATTTCAAATCCCACGTGTAAATGTATGTTATTAACAGATACCATGAGTCTGTTTTCCATAAAGCTTATGGCAGAACACACCTGCCAGTAACAGAGTGAGGTCAGCAGTCCCCTCCGACTCTGGGTGTACTCCGCCTCTTGTTTGTGCCCAGCCTAAAGCACAACAATCACCCTCCTGGTTTGTGTCTGCACTTCCGACCCCAGGACTCCAGTCTCTCTGGTTTCACAGATCGCAAGAAGCCCTCCCTTTCACGCTGTCCAGCACGCTCCCCAGGAGACAACGCTTTCCTAAGCGCACTCTTTTTGGGAGGGGAGGCAGGTACCTGGATTGAACTCCAGGGCACACGACCGACTGCTGAGCCACATCCCCAGACCTATTTTGTGTTTTATTTGGAGACTGGGCCTCTTGCTTAGTGCTTTGCTGTTGGATTACTGTAGCTTTATGGAAGTGTTAATATCTGGTGAAGAAATTCCTCTCAAACTTTTAAAAAATTACGAGCAAGTTTTGCATGTTTTTCTTGGATGACTGTTTAAATTCTTCTTTAGTCGTTGATAGATCTTCATTTTATTTATTAATAAGCAGTGCTGAGAATCGAAGCCAGTGGCTCCCACAGGCCAGGCCACCGCTGAGCCCCGGCCCAGCCTTTGTCTTCCATGTTCATTTTTGTCTTTTTAGTGAATTTTCTTGGGTTATTCTGCTTTGTGGTGCTGGGGATCTATCCCAGGGCCTCTGTGAGCGGCAGCCCTCTCCCACTGAGCCAGCCCGTCTTTGTCACATGTTTAAAGCATGGCTTTCTTGTCAGAATGGCATTAACTCTACTTAATAAACGTTTTTATGATATTACATCTTCCTATCCTAGCCTTTTTTTTTTTTTTTTGGTCTTTTGGCAATTTTAATTATCAGATCCCAGACCTTTTTTGTTAAATTTATTCCTAAATTTTGCTGCTTTTATCATTATCATGAGTGGATCTTTATTTTATTAATTTATTTATTGGTACCAGGGATTGTGCTAAGTTGTTTAGGACCCCTCTAAATTGCTGAGGCTGGACTTGCATTTACAATCCTCCTGCCTTGCCTCAGCCTCCAGAGCCATGGGAGCCTGGGATTACAGCAGCTGCACCAAGCATGACTGGAATTTTAAATGTCCACGTCTAACTGGTTGTTATTATTGAGTTTATTTTGTTATTTTTATTTATTTTTGTGGGGTACCAGAGATTGAACTCAGGGGCACTCGACCACTGAGCCACATCCCCAGCCCTATTTTGGTTTTATTTAGAGACAGGGTCTCACTGAGTTGCTTCGTGCCTCACTTTTGCTGAGGCTGGCTTTGAACTCGAGATCCTCCTGCCTCAGCCTCCCAAGCCGATGGGCCACTATTGACTTTTATAGCGTTACTTTGTATCCAACCACTTCACTGAGCTTCACACCAGTTGTTCTTTCTTAGGGAAGCTGTAGTTTTCATGCCCTTTCACTTTCCCATTAGCTGGAGGGTGGTTACCTCGCAGAGCCGCTAGAGGGCGTCCGCGCCGCGGCCCTGGCTCTCAAGCCTGGTGCCAGTTCCCCTCGCCCAGCCAGGAAGGCCTCAGAAAGGCAGGATTCGGTTCTGCCTGCTGAATCAGATTCTGCACTTTAACTAGATCCCCCAGAGGTCCGTAAGCACTTTGGACCAAGAAGCAGTGGTCTAGAAGGTTTCTCATTCCAACTGGGGAGTTCTGAGGACGGCTGGGGCTGTCGGGTTCTATCAAGTACTTTTTCAGCAGCCACCTAAAAAAAAAGGTTTCCTCCTCCTTTTTGTAACTATCATGCATTTGGGGGCTCCACTTCCCACCTCTGCACCAGCCCTGTGTCCCAGGACACGAGGCCACCCCATAATCTCCAAGCTGCTCTTTCTCGCTTCCTCATTCCTGTCTCTCCAGGGTGGCGGGAGGCCAGGCTGCACTGGGCTGGCCTTGTGCCTCAGCTCCTGGTGGCAGGGCACACAGTGGCCGCTAAGAAAACCTCTGACTTAATCCGAGCTGCCGTTCTCTTAGGGTTCAGCCTGGACACCCCGACTCCTCTGTCTGCGGATGGATTTTAATCTTGGAAAAAACAGGGGGTCATTCCAAGACCACAGCTAACGGGATCCAGGCACCTACAAGAGCACCTGTGTGCAGCTCTACAGCTGTCCGGGGGCGGCAGGGTGGCCTGATCAGGGCAGCCCTCCCCAAGTGGGGACCCGGCCAAGCCCCAAACACTGGGCAACACAGGTGGAGACAGGAGAGCAAGCAGAAAGCTCAGATGGGTGCAGCAGAAGCTGCAAGGCCCGCAGGGAGGAGGGGAGCCGTGACCTAGCTCCCCGGAGCTGCGCCGGCCACTGCTAGAGCTGTGTGCCAACAGAGTCCCAGAGAGTGGCAGGGCAGGGCAGGGAGCCAGAGCCCAGCGGTGGGCAGATGTTACTGCTTGTCCTGGAGGGGCCAGGGCAGCGTGAAGCTCCGCACAGGGCATCAATTGTTGACTGAAACTAGTAGCTTAAATTTCTGGGCATGGGCTCAGCGTGGCAGGCCCCGTCTCCTGGCACGGTGCTGGGAGGAGGGCCCAGCCAGCCAGGGTGGGGAGGAGGTCTCCTCCCCACTCTCCCCAGGGAGTCCACACTGGCAGCTCCATCACCCAGCTGGATGGAGGTAGGGGTGGCTGGAGGTGGCAGCGTCCTTCCAGATGGCTCTGAAGACAACATTGGTCCCTTTGATGGTCTCCTAGGGACAGGGGTGAGACCAGAGTGCCAGGAGGCCCCAGGAGGAGACACAGGGAGACAGGGCTCTGGCAGGTCCTGTCCCAGGGTAGGTCTGGGCTCTGAGGCCACCTTAGGTTAGGACACTGCCTGAGCCTCAGTGGGCACTGATGAGGGCTGAGGCCCAGCCACAGTCTGGAGGGCTGCAGAGCCCACCCTCTTCTTTGCCCTCTGTGGGCGACAGCTGGCCACGGGGAGGGAGCAGTGTCCACAGAAGCAGGGCAGCCGGGCCCCTTATCCCTGGGACTCCTGGCGTCCCCGCAGGAGCTGCAGCCTCAGGGGAGGTAGAGGGCCACCACAACATAGATGACCCAGCTGGTGGACACGAAGACCCCAAACAGCAAGCTGAAGAGCACGAGCGAGCGGGCTTTCCGCGAGGTCTCCTCGGCCTGGACGAGATCGCCCCTGCCCAGGGCTGCACGGGTCTGCAAGACAGGACCAGCGCAGGGTGAGCGAGCTAGAGCCCCAGGCCTCCCCGCACCCCTGGGCTCAGGCCTGTTCTACAGACTGAAAACAGACACCCCAAGGAGGTCAGGGACCACAAGCCTGCAGAGATAGCCCGGTCCCTGCCACTCAGCAGCCCTCAGCCTCATCTCCCGCAACCTCACAGTGACCCAGGTGGGGTCCTCATGCCGCCACCCTGCACATGAGGAAAGGCTCTGGGTGGCAAAGTGACGTACTGGGCCTCCACCTCTGGGGTGGAGCCAGAATCAGGCAGGCCCGTGCCTCAGGGTCCCACCTCCGAGCTGTCCTGACAGCTGTCCTCTCCCTGCCGTCCTGGCTCGCTGATGACTGGGGCCAGACAGCAGAGCAAGGCCAGGGCTGTGACCAGGTCAGCCTGGAGCACTGGCCCCCAGGGGCTTGTCTCTACTGGAATGTCCCAGCGTTGGCATCACTGAATCCCCAGGGCCTCTTTGCAGGACATATGGTCAGCAATGTCACGAGGAAGGAGGGAAGACAGTGAGATGGAGGGCGGATGGGCAAGGTGATGGCCAGAGCCCAGAGGAAAGACGGTGGTGGGTGGAGGAATGGGGCTGGTGGGTGCAGAGGGTGTGTGGATGGACTGACGGATGGATGGATGGGTGGATGGATGGGTGTTAGCAGGTCATGGTGGGTGGCTGGAGGGGTAGGTGGGTAAACTGGGCAGCCAGATAGAAGGATAGATGGAGGTGGAGGGACAGAAGAGTGGACTTTACCACCTGTTAAAACACAAGCCACCACTGGGGGAACACCTTGGGCCTTATCAATCATTCACACCTTCATTGCGATTTTTATTCTTTGTTTCAAGACAGGGTCTCGTCAAGTTGCTGAAACTGGCTTCAAATTTGTGATCCTCCTCCCTCAGCCTCAGAAGCTGTTGGGATTACAGGCATGTGCCACCATGCCTGGCTTTTGAATTGTTTTAGCAGAATTTTCCAGAGTAGATCTTGAGCAGTGGGGGGCACAGACAGGACAGGGGAGGAGGTCCCCACACAAGACGACAACAGAGCAGAGATTCCCAATTCCCACCCCTCCTGAGAGATACACCAGAGGCCCTGTTGCTGGGAGAGGGGCCTGCAGACCTCCAAGGGGACTGACTGCTGGCTGCATGCAGGGAAGGGCTGGGCCCACCCCCACCTACCTCGTGGGAGTACACAATGGCGATCAGCCCAGTGAGAAGGCAGCAGAAGAGGGTCACCAGCACCGACTCCATCATGTAGTCCTTGGGCAGAGGCCTGTGCTCCACCGAGGCGGGGCCTGGCACAGCAGCCAGAGGGCTGTGGTACTGTGGAAGCAGGGCCACAGTGGTAAGGGAGGCCACCAAGCCCCAGACATGGTCCCAGCCTCCCCTCCACTGAGGACGGGTCCCTGAGGGGTGCAGTCAGGGACCTATCTGCCTCTCCTTCCTGCACCCTGGCCGCTCAGCCCCAGGGAGTCCTCTCGGCTCCCCTTCACACACTGCCTGGTCCAGGCTGGGGCCACGGCCCCACGCCCCCACCGCAGCCCCAGCTCTCTCACTGGCAGCCCGGGCTGGGCTTTTCTTTAGGGAAATCTCCCGGGTGGGCCCCTGAGCCGGAGCCCCTGGGCGCTCACTGCGGGTGCCGCTTTCTTCCCTTCCCGGCCCTCGGAGCCTGCACCTGGGCCTGCACCTGGCCCTTCCTCCCGGAGACTCCTATTCACCCCTCGGAGCCCAGCGCGCGGGCCCCTCCTGGGGAAGCCGGGCGCCTTCCGCGCTGCGGCCCTGGCCCGGCGCCCGGGTCGAGGGGCCGCGGGGGGCTGAGCGCGGGCGGCGCGGGCGGCTCACCGCGGGGAAGGGGTAGGCGGCGGCGGGCGGCGGGAAGAGCGGGCCGGGCGGCGGGTAGAGCGCGGCGGGCGCGGGCTGGAGCAGCAGGGGCACCTGCGGGAAGGGCGGGTAGAGCGGCGGCGCGGCCTTGGGCTCGGGCGGCGCGTAGGGCGGGGGCTCGGCCTCGAAGCCGATGGGCGCCCCGCCGCCGGCCGCCGTGGGCCCCGGGCCGGCCGGGCGCTCGGGCTGCGCGGGGGCTGCGGGCGCGACCTGGGCATCCCCGGGGCCCGGCCCGCTCCCCGCCGCCGCCGCGCCCTCGCCGGGCCCGCCGTCCTCGGCCAGCAGCTGCGGGCGGCGAGGGAGCTGCGGGAGCGCAGGGCGCTCGGGGGGCGCGAGGCTCCGGGGCTCCTCCGGGGCTGGGGGCGCGGGGCCCCGCGGGTCCTCCGAGTCTGCGGGGCTGTCGCCCCCTTTCACATCGGGACCTAGAAAGAAAGGAGGCTGTGAGCCCCAAGAGGCCACCGGGCCACTTGGGACTCTGCCCCTCACGCCCCCAAAACGCAGTCCCTCCGGGGGGACGAAGCAGACCCTGTCCCACCGTGGATGTGCCAAGCGCCCGGTTCTCTCCGGCAGGGTCTTTACTCCAAGGGCAAGGAGCCTCTGAGCCCTGTCCCAGCTGCCAGGATCAGCCAGGGCCTCGGCTCCAAGACACCCACACCCCGCTGCGCACCCCCTCTGGAGTCTGGGCTTGGCCACGTGGCGTCTGCGGGCAATGGGACACTGACAGCTTGCAATCAGGACCTTTAAACCGCATCTCCAGACGATCAGGGGAGGGATGGGACCTTGGTAGTGGAGCATCGGAAAGGATGAAAACTTGGGGAGGGGTGGATGGCCGCGCAACATCGGGAATGTGCTTACGGGCCCTCTCTGTGCATTTAGAAATGGGGAAGGTGGTAAATCTCTCCAGCTGGCTACAACGAAGAGCTCCACACAAAATACAAAACCACCACCCGAGGGCACTGGAAAGTGAACAACTACAGGCAGATTGTGGAGTCCACGCTGAGAAGCAGCTTCAAGAGCAGAGTTTCAGTTTTCCAACTCTTTCCTTCCAAGCTCTGGCTCCAGCCCCAAAGTCACAGGATGGGACATGCAGCAGAAGGGGTGACTGAAACTTCAACAGATGACCTGTCATTCCAGCCAGAGGAGACAGGGAGGGCCCTTGCAGATGGAAAGAGCCAGAAAAGGGCATCTCCTACTCCTGTGTGGAGCTGGGCAACCAACCTGTTTGCTCAGGACTTTCTTAGATTTACCGGGGAACTCCTGATTCTGGGCAAAGTGGGATCCTCATCACTCCAGAAGGAAGCTCCCAAACCTGGGATTCACCCTGGCTGCGTGTGCAGGGGAGGAACCCAGATCTACATAATGACTAGAAACCCAGGAGCAAAACAGGCTGTGGAGTGAGCCAACCAGGTGACCGTGGCAACCATGCAAGCCAGCATTTCCAGAGCATTCTAAAGGCACCAAGAACCTGCCAGTGTAATATTCACCACATCCAGGGCAGATCCACGGTCATTTCCATATAAAATAGAATTAGGAAAATATGACTGATCCTCAAGGCAAAGATCATCATCAATAGACGCCAATTCTGAGATGACCAGAGATTGGACACCAGGACCTAGTGTCCAATATATATCCATCTGGGATAAGTTCTCAGCAGAAAATTCGAGTTTTGTGTTGTTGCTGTTGTTTAAAGAACCAAATGGAAATTTTGAACTAAAATTTCATAATTTCTGAAATTAAAAATGCATTGACTAGGGCTGGGGTTGTAGCTCAGTGGTAGAGCACCTGCCTTGTACGTGTGAGGCCCTGGGTTCCATCCTCGGCACCACATAAAAATGAATAAATAAAGATATTGTGTCCACCTACAACTAAATAAATATTTTTTTAAAAAAATGCATTGACTGGACATCAATAGAAGCCCTGAAGAAACAAACAGAGTCAATGAACTTCAAGACAGACCAATCAGAAGAACAGGGGGGGAAACTGAAAAAAGAATCAACAAAGACTTGGGGAGTGTGTGGTAATACCCACCAGGGCTAGTGTGCCCGGGAAAAAGTTCCAGAAGACATTTTAGGGAGAATATTTTTGAAGAAATAATGGTTGCAAAATCCCCAAATTTGGTGATAGATAAATATAAAGATTCAGGAAATCCAAAAAGGGACTCCGTGGGGAAATTACGCTTAGCTCCATCATCATTAAATTTCTCAGAATCAAAGATTATAACAAAGCCTTGAAAAAGGGCAGAGGATGCCAGGTCGTAGGCAGAGGAAGAACGAGAGAGCCCTGCACACATCTCCAGGAGACCACAGGGGTCAGAGGACAGTGGGTCAACCTGTGCTGAAAGGAAAGAGCCGCCAATACAGAACCTGATAGCTAAAGAAAAACCGGGCGCGGTGGCACACGCCTGCAATCCCAGCAGCACGGGAGACTGAGGCAGGAGGATCTCAAGTTCAAAGCCAGCTTCAGCAAAAGTGAGGTCCTAAGCAACTCAGTGAGACCCTGTCTCTAAATAAAATACAAAACAGGGCTAGGATGTGGCTCAGTGGTTGGTGGTTGAGTGCCCCTGAGTTCAATCTCCAGTACCAAAAGAAAGAAAGAAAACACCCTCCAGGAAGAGGAATGCTTGAGCTTTCTGTTGCATAATAAACACATCACCACAAAAATAGTAGTTAAACAATACTAATACGAGATTAGTGTTTTATTTAACCAGGGGATGGGAATCTTGGGGGATCATCTTTGGAATTCTGCTTACTGCAAGTAAAACAAAGACAATTCTCAGATGAAAGAAAACTAAGAGACTTGCCATAAAAGAAAGAGCCAGGTGTGGTGGTGCACGCCTGTGACCCCAGCTGCTAGGGAGGCTGAGATGGGAGGATAGCAGATTCAAGGCCAGACTGGGCAACTTTGTGAGACCCTGCCTCAAACGTAAAAAGGGCTTGAGGTGTAGCTTGGTGGCAGAGCACTTGCCTAGCATGCACAAGGCCCTGGGTTCTATCCCTGGTACCATCAAACAAACAAAAACACAGACCAATATCCTTCATGAATAAAAAGAAAAAAATCCTTAATTAAATAGTTGCATGTCAAATGTTAAAAGGAATACATGGGCTGAGAATGTGGCTCTGTAGCCAGGTGTTTGGCTGGCATGTGTGAGGCCCTGGGTGTGATCCCCGCCACCAACTCCTGCCCCAAATCACAAATAAACAGGACCATGCAAAATAGGTTTAACATTTAAAAATCAGTCAATATATTAAAAGAATAAAGAGAAAAAATATAGAATCATTTCAATGGATGAGAAAAAAGCATTTGGCAAAATCCAATGCCCATTAGCAAAGATACACACATGAATTTTTTATCAATAAGAATAGTAAGAACATACTCAAATTGATAAGGGGCATCCATGAAAGAAAACCTTTAAAGGTAAAAGACTGAATTCCTCCATCCTCCCCAAGATCAGAAACAAGGTAAGGATCACCATTTTCTGACTTCTATTTAACTTGTTCTGATGTCTTGACCATAGCAATAAAGCAAGAAAAAAAATGTATAAAGAAGTCTTACCACTCTATGATTCAAAGATCTCAATAAAAAAAGTAGGTGAAATACATGTAAACCCTTCACCAAAGAAGATATTTGAATGGTCAATAAGCATATAAAAAGATGCCATTGTCATTAAGGAAATACTACAAGAAGAGATCACTACACGCCTATTAGAATAGAGACATTATATGGGGTCTTTGTTGCCCAGGCTGGCCTTGAACTCCTGGGATCAACTGATCCTCCTGTCTCAGCCTCCAAAGTAGCTGGAAATATAGGCTTTCACTCCCATGCCCAATCCCAGTTAAATTTTTAAAACAACAAAACTGACCTTAGCGTATGTTGGGAAGGGTGTAAGATAACTGGAGCTCACACACAACTGCTGGTGGGTAAGTGAAACAGTATCACCAGTTTGGAAAAAACTTGACACTTCCTTCAAATGTTAAACATACCTCTACCATATGATCCAGCTATTCCACTCAAGATATTTATCCAAGGAAAACATATGACCACACAGATTTGCTCAGGAATGTTTATATCACCTCTCTTGGTAGAGTCTCCAAACTGGAAACAACACACATATCCATAAAAATGAATGGATAAGTCATTTGTGCTGTCTTCATACATCTGAAATGGACCCCAGTGATTCCAGTTTCATGGAACTAGTGCTCTTGGGGAACCCTCCCCCGGAATAGGGGCTGCATGCATGACTTGCTCATGAAGAGGACACAGCTAAAGACACAGGACATCCCTGCTAAGGGTAGGGGTCTTTGTTTTGTTTTGTTTTTGGTACTAGGGATTGAACTCAGGGGCACTTGACCACTGAGCCACATCCCCAATCCTGTTTTGCATATTATTTAGAGACAGGGTCTCACTGAGTTGCTTAGCACCTTGCTTTTGCTGAGGCTGGCTTTGAACTCTCCATCCTCCTGCCTCAGCCTCCCGAGCCACTGAGATTACAGGCCTGCACCACTGTGCCCATCTAGGAGTAGGATTTTAAAAGCCTGTGGCTCCTCCTCACTTGCTCTCCGTTCTTGCTTGGTGTTCCCTCTCTTTCTGTTTCTGGTAACTCCAAGAGGAAGCAAGGCTCTGTGAGAAGCCCCACGCAGAGGCCCATTTTGCATGGGCCCTCACTCCACAGCTCAGGAGGAGTCAAAACCTGCCAACACTCAGATGAAGGAGTTTGGAAGCAAAGCTTTCAGCTCCTCCTGAGTCTTGAGATGAGCACCAGTAGCTGGTGAGGAACTCAGAGGCCAGGTAGCTAGTTCAACTGTAGCCAGATCCTCACCTATAGAAACTCTCCAGTAAACACTGCTTATTGTTTTAAGCTTCAAATTTGGGAGTAACTTGTTATGCAACAACAGCTTACTGATACAACTTCTTAGCAATCAAATGGAAATGAACCCTTGACACAACTTGGGTCTATCTCCAAATCATTATGTCAAGTAGTGAATCCAGCCAGGGGCACAGACCTGCAAGCCCGTAGTCCCAACTACTCAGGAGACTGAGGTAGGAGGATGGCAAATTTGAGGCCAGCCTCAGCAATTAAGTGAAATCCTGTCTCAAAATAAAAAATAAAGAAGTCTGGGAAGGGCTGGGTTGTGGCTCAGTGGTAGAGCATTTCCCTGGCATGTATGAGGTCCTGGATTTGATCCTCAGCACTGCATACAAATAAATAAAATAAAGATCCATTGACAACTAAAAAAAATATTGCTAAAAGATGGGTTCTGGGGATGTGGCTCAGTATTAGGGCACTTGCCTAGTGTGTATGAAGCCCTGGATTTCATCCTCAGAACCACAAAATAAAAATAAAAACAAAATGCTTGCACACTGGGGCTTGACATCTTGTGTTGCTGGGAATCTGCGCCACAGCCAACCTTCCAGCGGGGCCAGGGAGGATAAGGTACCCCAGAGGATCACCTGTAAGGATGAGATACCTCAGAGATCCCCTGGCGATCCCCAGACCACCTGCCCAGGTGAGCTAGCCCTGACAAGCAGGTGTGGCACAGGAGCGAAATGCTCTGAGCCCTCGTGTCCCCATCTGTAAAGTAAGGATAACATTAATAGTAATTTTAAATACTATCAGTGGGGCTGGGGCTGGGGCTCAGTGGTAGAGTGTGGCCCCCATGTGTGAGGCCCTAGGCTCCATCCCCAGCACCAAGACAACCAAAATAACAGGGAACACCGACCAGGCTGCTCCCAGAGCTCCTCTCTGCTGTCCTCACCTGTGAGTGCTTCTGTTTTTATGATGCATTTTACAGTGGGGAGCTCAGGCTCCTAGCAAGAGCCTCAGCGAGTGAGATCCCTTCTGGGGTGTTGTCACAGGAATGTCGAGACCCTGCCCCAGTTATCATAACAGAAACCACAGTTTCCTTGGATCCCGCCAGGGCAAATACCTGGCCCGATGGCACCGAGATAGGGCCGCAAAGTAAATAAATCTGCGGGCAAGGCGGCTGGGCCGTGGTCTGGGGTTCTCAGGTTTTGGACACCTGAGCCTGGGACATTCCAGCCAGGAAGGGAGGCCTGGGCTACAGCCTGGGCTGCAGAACGGGGATGAAGTTAGGGTCTTGGAGAGACCGCCAGCCTTCGCTGCCACCCTCCCGGCAGCATCCCCTGGCTCAGGTGGCAGATGGGATCTGGGTGCACTCATCCCAGCTTCTGCAGGTCAGGTCAGCGGGCCGGAGGTGGCAGTGGAGGGCATCAGGGCTCCGCACCGTCCCGCCACCACCGAGAGCAGGGGTCTTGTTTCCCGGCTCGGCCCCTTCAGTGCTGGCCGAGGCGGAGCCCTTAGCCAGTGCCACCTTCCTCTGCCCGTCTTCTCGGGGCCTTCCATCCCCGCCTCCCGCCTCTCTCGGTCTCTGCGGCAACTCGCCCGCGGGCTCTTCACCCGCATCTTCCTCCCTCTCTCTCTGTCCCCCTTGTCGGGGTCCCATTCCCCTGCTCTAGGACTTCAGCCTGGCCAGAGGCGTGAACAAGGTCCCCAGATGCAGGACGCCACAGGGGACGCTGGGGCGGGTGGGGAACGCGCCGGACGTGCGGGGGGAGGCCAGGCCAGAGTTCCCGAACTTTCCACGGAGCATCCCGGTGCCCCCCGTCCGGCCCTGGGCAGGGGTTCCGGGCGCCGGGCGCCCCCTCCTGCGCCCTCCCGCACCCACCGGGCGCCCCGCGCCCGCCGCGGCCCTCACCTGCGTCCATGGCGCGAGCGGCGTCCGGTGCGCGCGGGATGCGCTGCTCCCCGCCCGGCGCCTCCCGTCGGGCCGGCTCGGCTTGCGGCGCCGGCTCGGGTTTCCTGGTGCCGGCAGCGCGGCCGGTTAATAATTGACCGCCTTTGTTTGCCGACGGCTGTGTCAACACTTGGCTCCTTGCACCCCGCACCCGGCGCTCGGCCCCAACCTGCCTCGAGGCCCGAGAGCGCCGCGGCGGACCCCGCAGGGCGGCACCGTCTGCGCGGGGACTGCGCAGCGCTTTGCGGAGTGGGAGGGGCCGGGGTGCTGGGGAGGCCAGCGGCCCAGGCGATTGCCCCCATGAGGACTGGGGGAGGCCCCCAGGAGAGGGACGTCGGGGCTCCCCGGCCCACCCACCCAGCCAGAAGAAGGTAGAAAGGTGGATTTTCATGTGAAATTGGAGATTTAGAACATTGTGCAGGAGACTTCCCCCCGAAATGTACCCGACTGGGCACCTGAAGCAGATCCCAGTCCGATCACTTGGAAACACAAATAAACAACTCTCGCGCCATTTTTTTTGCATCCATAGCTGGACGTGTAGGTATGGAGGAAAATCCCCAGGAGCCGAGAATGCAGAGGCAGCAAAGATGGGCCCGGAAGCCATTGCGCCTCTCAGCGGTCTCAGAGGTCCAGGGCTTGCGGCTTACCCCAGGAGTGGACAGGAGATGGAACTCCGGGTCGGTGAGGCAGAGCGATAGGACCCGGAGAGGTGAACAGGAAGCAGAATCTGCCTGTGGCTTCAAGAGGTGTCAGGGAAGCTGGGTCTGGATGAAGACATAAAATGCCCCAGAAGACTTTTGCACCCGTGCACTGCATAAGGTGTTCACACTCAGCCTGCCCTCAGGCACAGGCCAGCCTAGAAACTTCTAGATGAAAAACCGATGTTAAAAATAAAAAGCAGGCCCAGGGGTGTAGCTCAGGATAGAGCCCTTGCTCAGCACATGCAGGGCCCAGAGTTCCATCTCCAGCATCACAAAATAAAAAAGGCCTGAAGGTGGGAATCCAGGAAAGAGCTGTGGGATTTACTCAAAGCAAATGCAAAACTCCTCAGGCAGGACACAGCCCCATTGAAGCTGGGGAGATTTCCCATGGGAAAAGCACTCAGAGGTGAGTTCACAGTCCCCAATGGCAGAACCCACAGGGAACAGCCCACCATGAGGGAGAGACAACAGACCAGCACTGCAAGATTCAACTCTGGGTGAGTCAGGATCCAACCAGGAAAAACAGAACCCCCGTGGAGTGTTTAACACAAAGTTATTCACTGTAGGGAGCTGGCTTTACAGACAACAGAAGAGGCAAAGTTAATCAGAGGAGATTTAGCATGAAGACAAAGTTGATGTGACAGAGCAATACACTCAGGGCACAAGGTGGGTGAGGTCCACCCTGGGGGCTGGCAACAAGTGGGCAACCTTGGAAAAGAATTTAAAGGCAAGAGTAGATGACTAAAAGTCGCTCTGGTCTTAACTATGTGACAATAATTCTAAATAATGCCAGTGGCAAAATTCTCCACCCTGAAAAGAATCTTCTGATGGCCTACGTTCTGAATAATTCCTGTGGTTACTGCAGCTCACAGAAATCCTGTGGACAGGCTTCCACATTCCTGGCAGACTAGGAGAGTCCTCTCCCACAAACATCCCCCAGGGGAGAAGAGCAAGATGTAAAACTATCAGTGTTTCCTCCGTGAAAATCCCCAGCCAACTCCCACCTGCTCTCAGAAGCCCCACTACCTTTCTAGTCCTTCACGGGAACATCAGTGACCACTTACCACAGATCTGAAGAAGCAGATCACCTGGAGGAGACACAAACAAACAAATGGGGGAAGAGAAGCTTAGAGGGAATAAAGAATAAAGAAGAGTCAGGGAAAATAATATTTTAAAAAAGCACTGTTAAGGGCTGGGGATGTGGCTCAAGCGGTAGGGCGCTTGCCTGGCATGCATGCGGCCCGGGTTCGATCCTCAGCACCACATACAAACAAAGATGTTGTGTCCGCTGAAAACTAAAAAAAAATAAATATTTAAAAAAAAAAAAGCACTGTTAAATATCCCAAGAAAAAGCCAAGTGGGTGGCACATGCTGTGGCTACTTGGGAGACTGAAGAAGATCCTAAGTTCAAGGCTAACCCAGACCACTGAGCAAGATGTAGGGGGAATGGAATGTAACTCAGGAGTAAAGCACTCCTGGTTCAGTCTCTAGTGCTGCCAAGAAAAAAAGATCCAGAGATTAGAGAAGGCACTCATGAAACAAGAATAGAATGCTGTTAAAAAAAAAAAATTCATAAAACAAAAAGTTCTTGAGAATTAAGAATTTCACAGCAAAAATGAAACACAAAACTCAATAGAAAGTTGGGAGGTAGAGATAGAGAAAGTCTGCCAGAGGAAAAATATAAAAGTAAGGGGGAAAAAATTCCAGAGACAGTCCAGGACAACTCATCTCCGAGAAATATGAGTTCCACAAAGAATAAGGAATCACAGAGGGGAAGAAAACGTCAAATGAAGAATCCAAGAAAATTTTCCAGGACTGAATCTTCAGATGGACAGAGCTCACTAAGGGTCCAGCACACAGGAAATTGGCCACTCCAAAGGGATATGATTGTGAAATTCCAGAATATAAGGAACAAAGAAAATTTTTATGAATTTTCATTGGAAAAAAGTAAGTTTCAGGCACTGGAGTTGTGACTGGGTTTAATTCTCAGCACCACATACACATAAATAAAATAAAGGTCCATTAACAACTAAAAAATATTAAAAAAAAAAAAAAAAGTAAGTTTCAAGTGCTGGGATTGTGGCTCGGGGTAGAGCTCTCGTCTAGCATGCTTGAGGCACTGGGTTCGATCCTCAGCACCACTTAAAAAAATAAAATAAAAAGGTATTGTGTCCACCTACAGCTAAAAAATAAATGTTAAAAAAAGTGAGTTTCATACTCTGGACCAAGAATCAGAATGACACTGAATTTCTCAATAGGAACTTTGAAAACAAAAGAACAACAGACGAATGCTTCAAAATTCTGAGGAGAATGAATTTCTAATTGCAGTGGCCAGTTCCTTTTGAATATGGCAGAAATGACCCCAGATGACTTCTGTGGTCCAGTCTAAGATGTCATGGACTCAGGCTGGGCTGGGGCTCAGTGGCAGAGCGCTTACCTCGCATGATGCCCTGGGTTCCATCCTCAGCCCCAGATGAAAATAAATAAAATTAAGGTATTGTGCCCATCTACAATTAAAACAAATGTTTTTAAAAAGCCGTGAACTCTCACTCTAGGGAGTCCCCTCTTTCTACAACCATATTCTAATTAGTTCATAACAACACCATAGCAGTTGGTTTAAGGATGCCACCCAAACACTGCCCAATCCCAAACCCCACACCATCTCGAAGACATTCTAGACAGGACACTTCTACTGTGATTCTCAAGTCAAGAAGCCGCTCATGGCAGCAGCGAGGCTGGACTGGTGGTTTTATATTTATACTTTCACTGTTGGTTAAATGTTTATGTGGAATGGACTTGACCTCGATGGCTCATTTTCCATTTGCTCCATTTGCACTCCTTGGTTGGTCAGATCCATGTGCAAATCTGCATTGTTTCAGATTTTGCTGGTCACCCTGGTTCTGGGCAGTGAAGGACAAACAGCCACTGGGGCTGGTAGACAAGCTGGGTTCCCTGAGGTTCCTGGTAGTGACGCCAGACCTTGGGGCTCAGCGTGACTTCCTCCACTGAAGCCCCCAGTAAGGGTGTGCCTGGCATCTGCCAGCACAGCACAGCGGGTGGCTGGTGCAGGGGCAGCCAGGAGGAGCTGTGGTTGGGCCTTCCTGCGCCATCACAGCTGGGGGGCGGGTGGCTCAGCGTCTAGCAGTGCAGCCGGTTAGAGAGCCCAAGGCCCTCTTCGGGGAAGGGTGGTGGAAGACCTGACATGCTCTTTGGACCGGAGCTGCCAGGCTGCGAGGAGCCCAAGTTGTAGGAGAGGCCACTGTGAGCGTTTGGGGTGATGGCCACTGTGGGTAGCCTGGTGACAGCCCCAGCTGAATTCATAGGAGACATCACGAGCCAGCCATGCAAATGAGCCAGCACGGGCACACCAGTGCAATGGAGCCACAGGTCACCCCAGACCCAGCATCCATCTGGCTGCCACCAATGGGGCGGCCCCCAGAGAGCCACAGCCATGCCAATCAATGGCATTTTAAGCCATTAAGTATTGGAGTGCTTTGTTTTGTAACAACAGAGAATCAGAAAACCCACTGGAATTCTATAGCCAAGCAAAAAGATCAACAGAGCATAAAATAAAGATAGAATATTCAAGATCTCAAAAGTTCCACCTCCCGTTGCCTTTCTCAGGAAGCATCACCCCAACGAGGAAGTAAGTAAGTAAGAGGGAGGAAGCCTTGGCACAGGCTACAGGAGAGAAGGCTCAGAAATACTGCCCAGAGACGAAGGCTGCGGGGTGGTGGGGGGGACCGCAACCCCAGAGAACCCACCAGAATTAACATCAGCCTCCAAGTTGCACAGACAGATCCGGGCAGGCACCCAGCCCAGAAGACCCGCCCTGCGCATCTCACATCCCCGCTGCAAGTGGGTGGGGCCACCTCGCCAGAGGCCAGCCAGGTAGCAGTGAGTGAGGGCTCAGGGTGAAGGACCGAAGGAACCACTGTCAGCCCAGAGTGCCACGCCCAGCCACGCCTTTCTTAAAAATAAAATTTTTTGCTTCAGTAATGGCACCCACCTGTAATCCCAGCTACTTAAGAGACTGAAGCAGGAGTATGAGTTTATGGCCTGTCTGGGCAACTTAGAAAGACCCTGTCTCAAAAATAAATAAATAGATAAGAATTTAAAAGATTAAAAAAAAAACCCAAAAACTCTAGGGGCTGGGGCTGGGGCTCAGCGGTAAAGAACCTTGAATGCATATTACCAAGTGCAGGAGGCCATTCTGGAAAGCTTAAATGGCATGTGACCCCAACTATAGGACAAAACTGTGGAGACGGTAAGATCAGGGGTCAGCAGCGGGTCGGGAAGGGTCAGGAGGGAGGGAGGGGTGAAGACATGGAGCACAGAGAAGTGACAAACATGATCTGAGCAACACTGTGCCGAGGTAGGTGCGTGGGTTGAGTGTAGCAGAGGACCTCTCTGGCGGTGCCGACAGGGGGCTGTGCACGCTGGGTTCCAAGGCGGCCTTCATCTACTGTTTTTTGAGCCGGGTCCTTGCTATGTTGCTCAGACTGGCCTTGAACTCGAAATCCTCCTGCCGCACCCTCCTGGTAGCTGGGATCACAGGCGTGCACCCCTGCACTTGCTTTCTTTCATGATGAACAATTAAAGGCCTGGGGCAGCCTGTCCCAGGCCCTGGGCTCCACACAGGCTGCACAACCAACAGGAACGGGGTCACTGAAACACCCTGGGGCAGCCTAAAGCAGCATTTGAAGACAAGCTCCTGTGGTCAACTTTAACGGGCAGAAGGAATATGGAAAGAATGAATAAAAGTGAAGCCATCACAGAAAAAGATACACACACACACACTAATATATATATACTGAGAGCCATTGCCAAGTAGGAATGACGCATGGCAATTTCCTTGTCAGCCTACCCCATGTTGCTTAGAGGAAGGACTCTCCATTGTGGACATGGCCTTGGACCCAGGTCATTTGCAGTGACATTGCAAGAATGTTTGAGAAAGGTGACCCTGCTCAAGGACCAGGGTGGATCAGGGTTTAGGGAGGATCCTGCTGGATTAGGGTGGGTCCAGGTTTAGGGTGGACCCTGCTGGGAATAGGGAGTATCCTGCTGCCTCAGGCGCCCGCCCGCTCCTTGAGTTCTCGTTGAGTTCTCCCGGGATTCAGAGAGTATTTGGGATGCAGAGCAGAGTGTCAGTGGATTTCCCCAGAACGTGCGTGTAGAGTGCCGGTGTGAGTTCGGGAATAAAGACTTGCTGTTTCAATCTACAAGGCTGTGAGTGGCTCGTGATTTTGTGCCCAGCCAGACTGCGGCATTTATATATATATAAAACATTTTGCTTGTTCTTTAATTTATAAAGCATTCTCATTCACACATTGACTGACTTAAATATATATAAACTTTCTTTTGTGACAGACCAGAATATCTACATTACTCAACTTTACAAAAAGAAAACAGGTCCAAATAGTGTTAAGAGACTTTTTTAGTTAAAACCACAAAACCCTGTGTGTGTGTGTGTGTTTAAATCTTTCTTCCCATTCCATTCTTTTGACTTAATTTCACACAGTTAATATCTGCTCTCCTATTTCCACTCCTCTTAAAGGCATCCCTACCCTGTCGTTCAAGCTCCTCAGCAGCCCCCACTCTGGTCACGCAGGGTGAGACACCTCCTGAATTTCTCTGGAACTGATGCCCTCTTCCTCTTGCGAGTCCCTTTCTCCGTCAGCCTGGCTTGTGAGCTTTTCATTGTTCAGATCCCATTTTCTCTTCTTGGGTCAGTAGTGACAGCTCCAGGCCTGTTTGCTTTTGTAGTTCTCATGTCATGGTCATAGTCTTCTTACTCAAGCTGGCACAAGTGTGGCTCCTAGTCTCTTTCTGATCCACAGCAGCTGGTTTAAAGCCTGCATATGAAGTTTGATAGTGAGACTTTAGTGCGGACGGTTCCTCTGAGACCCAGTAGATTTTCCTGGCCTGCTGAATCGGGGTGATCAGTCTTGATTTCATGTTCCAGCCTGGACTGACTGTCGTTCGTACCAGAAGTTGGAGCTTTCCACCTCCGCCACCATATTGAATCAGGAGCCGACTCCTAAAGGTGCCTGCACGTGTCACGTGTGACCCAGGAATACGAGGCAGTTTTGCATTTGTCTCTGAATCCCTGTGGACTTGCTGGTCCTGACCATCTTTTCTGTTAGTTTCTCAGCCTGGGGTTCTGTGCACTGATGGCGCCTGTGTGCTGCAGGCCTGCGGATCCTCATCCTCGGTGATGACGCCCTTCTACCAGAGCTTGATGGACAGGATGGTTTGCTCCAGTGTCTCAGAAAAGTGGTCCCTACAGGCTCCAGCTGTATGCAGAGGGCCATTCCGGAACCCTGTTGCTGGGTGGGGTTGTGGCTTTGACTCCAGCCCTAAGGCATACATAAGGAGCTGGCCCCTTTGTGGGCCCCTGCTGCAAACCCCCTGCTAGGCCTTTCTTCATTCCAAGGGCCTGTCCAGCTGGTGGTCCAGAGGTGCTTTGGGGTTGGGTGGGGGAAGAGGCAGACCACAGTACAAGTTCATAAATGTGGGACAAATAATGGAGCGAACCAGGATTTCCTCCTGACCCTTGTGCTTCAACAGCCACTCTTCTTCACAGGATGTGGGGGTGGGGGGGTGCCGGGATGGGCTAGAGAGCAGGGGCTGGGTATCTGCGTGGTGGTGGCCACTGCAGTCCAGAGGCCTGAGCAGGTGGACCCGGGACTTGATGGCTTCTTGGCACTGGGCCTGCCCCAGGGGCTCACCACACCTCAGTGTCTCTTCACTCTGGGAGGACAACTAGTCAGCAGCCTGGCTGGCTCTTACAGGGTCTGCCAGTCCCCTGGGAGGCTCAAGGAGGCACATGGGACAGACGCCAGCAGTGTCACTGTTATCGAAAATACAGAAAAATATGAAAAAATTATGGCAAAGGAAAGAGACAAGGGGTCTTTGGAGGTGCAGAAGAGCAAGGGCTTACTCAATAGGGTAAGGGTGGGGGCTCAGGGGGCTCCTCCAACAGCTGAGCCCCGCCCTCTACCGGCACAGGCTTCTGGGTTGTAGGACTTTCTCAAGCAAGTGGCCTTGATCCCTTTCCCTCTTCCCAGGCAGTCTGGTTCCTGCCTCAGCTGCTGAGCAAGCGAGATTACAGAAGCAGAAACTAGCAGGCTGCAGCTACGACCCGAGATAAGACGGAAACAGAAACATCTAAGGAAGGAGTTGCTGCTCCATCACAGACGGCCCTGCTCACGCTCTGCCCTCTGCTTCCCGCCCTTGCCTCAGCGGTTGGACAGGGAAGAACGGGGAGGAAACCTCGTTCCTCCATACAAACGACTGGCTGATTTGGGGGCACCAGCCGCTCCTGGGCACCTCTGCCCGCCAATGGCGAGGACGCACTGTGTTCGGGGGTGCTGCTATGTGCCTGGACTTCACGTGCGGAGGTGTGGCTGAGCAGCCCCAGGGGGAGGACAAAGCCCCCGGAAGATTTACTCCATCTCCTAGGGAAGCGACCTCTGGGGCCACACAGGGCCACCCGAGGAGCCCAGGCTGGGTCAGGAGGCAGGGCAGCAAGGCGGAGAGAGGCTAGATCAGAGCCTTCCTTGAGGCTTTGGGGGGAAGGTGGCAGGCAGGGGCAACAGGCTAGGCTTCCCAGTTGAGTGGTTCCAGAGGGCTCTGGGCTGTCTCTAGCTGCCTGGCACCTGAGCCTGGGGTGATTTTGTGCAGGAGAAATCCTGACTAGGGGTGTGAGAGCCTTTGAAGGAGGCTTGGTTTGGCTGATTGGTGCATAAAGAATGTACCCCGGCCTCTCAGCATCACCAGCTGCTGTGTGTGCGCGGAGGACCCAGCTAGCTCGCAATAAACACCTCTTTGCTGCTTACATCCATCTTGGGTCTCTGGTGGTCTTTTGGGGGTCCCGAATTCGAGCATAACATATGGGGGCTCGTCTGGGATCCCCCTAATAAGCCTACCCAGACACCCCGATCGAGAAGTGATAAAAACCCGGCCAGTAAGTAAAGGCATTGCCGATCTGTAAGATTCTGTACTCTGGTTGCCTGCAGGTTCTGGTTCTGTGTTGTGTGGTCGGCAAAAGGACCAGGTGGACGCACCGAAGGGCAGCCAACAGGGTTTGTGGCAGACGTCCCCAGCCCCTTTCTGGGTTCTGAGTGGATTGCCTTTAGTAAAGTATTTTGTGAAGTATTTGGTAAAGTATTTTGTAGCTGATGGATCCGCAGTCCACCTGTGCCTTTAGTTTCTGGGTAGCAATCCAGGACGCGCTGTGAATTCTGTGGCCGTACTGCGAATTTTGTGATATGTGTGTTTGTTTCTATTGTCCTGTCTGTCTCCACCCCAACACCCTGGTAAGAGAACTAATCTCCCAATCTGGGGTCGTCAGACCCAATCTGAGGGGGATGCTCTCCCAATCCATTTGTTTGAGGGGAAGGCCCCAGTTGGCTTGGGGCCAGCACCCACTTTCGCTTTTTTGACAATCTGAAAAGGGAATCTGTGTCTTTTTGTCTGTGTCTGTGTTAAGTGTGATGGCATTGTTTTACTTTGGACAGATACAGTGTCCCAAGTTCCAATCTGCCTTAGATGTGTGGAGGTAACTTTAGCTAAATTTTAGCCTAAATTGTCCCTAGTATGCTTCTCCTGTAAGGGACCAAAAGTCAATAGAACTGCCAGCTTTTCTGTTCTCAACTTTTACATCCCTTTTAGCTGTGTTTTAAAGAACTTTGATAAACTTTACTTCCCTTTGTTAAGCGAGATTAGGGAAGCAATGTTTTCTTTTCTTCCCGTAGTTGGCTGGCTTGAGTGCACCCACTGCAGAGGGAAATGCCTGCTGGGGGTCTAAGAACTTTGATATCTCACTTTAACTTTTCTCAAAAACCCTGTCCTCATTATTAAATTAGCATTAATTGGCTTTGGGGATGGGAACCAAATTTTCAGTTACAAATTTTGACACCCCAGGGAGGAGCCTCCCCTCTGTTTTCTTGGGGAGCCTAGCATTCTGAACAACTGCATGCCGAGGATGTAAGATGAACTTTTTGGGAGCTGACTACTGAAAAGTTAGGAGATATGGAGAGTGCCTGGTGCCTGGGGTCGGACCAAACCAGAGGAACTAATCCTGTAAGTAAAAGGAGGGACTGAGGGACTCCCAGCAGCTGCCGAAGCACTTTTGCTTTGGGGAACTCCCTCTTCCTTACTGGCACTGTAAGGATTACTCCACCTCTGTCTACTTAAAAACAAAAGAAGGGGACACTGAAGGCAGAAAAGTCACCACACCAAGACCCTTGATTTTACACTTCTGGTTGCCCCTATGTGAGAACATCTGGTCCACTTGTGGGGAAATCTATGGTGCCACTGATGTAGGAGTCATAATTAAATGGGAGTTAGAAACCTGGGGAGATTTTTCTCTAATCTGGTCTGTTTTAAAGGTTATTATAGATTGTTTCTTGGGGATGATCTTGGCTGAATGTGTATCTAAAAGATGATTTTTTATTGTAACAATCTGAATGAGTTTTTGAAGCATTGCATAATCTTGCAATTAAAAGTTGGGTTTAGGTAATTGTTTAGTTTATGATTTCAGATAGTTCATGCTAGAGAACTTAAATATTTAGGATAGAAAATTTAAAAACTCTACTTCCAAGTTGGCAAGTAACTCCCAATCATTTAGTTTTAGTTTTTCATCAATTTTTGAACTTGGTAGCCTGGGAAGATTTCACTAGGTGTACCAGTGCATTAATTTGGGCAAGGATAATAAATTATGATTTGGTATCTGTTCCCCTCAGTGTGTAGGATTTAGGAAAGGAAAGTGTTGGATTGGGACATTGGTCTGGCTTATTGAAATAACATTGAATAGCAACAGTCTTGAAAATTTTCAAAGCTTAATTTTGGGTATACATGGTAGTGTGTGGTTCTCTTTTGGAATTTTTTTCAGGTGATTTAATGCAACTTAATACTACTTTAGGAACTTCAGAACAAAGGAAGTGGCTTAATGATCCTGAAGGAATTTCTTCTGATGGTAGCCTTTATATTATCAAGTAAAATCCTATTTTCAGTTTTGTGTGAGCAAGTTTTTCTAGTGTAGAAAGATATAAAGGTATGAAATTTTGTGAATTGTATCTTAAACTTGTATCATAATTTTCAACATCCAAACCTGGAAATTGTGACTTATGGTTAAAATGCCTTAGGCAGGAGGTTTCTGCTCAGAATTCCAGTTTTTGCTGCTCCTTCCAGACCTCAGCCAGGGCTTAAGGTGAAATGCAATAGAAGAAGCCTGCGAGCTCAGTAGGAGACTGATCTGAGGCCCAAGGAAAGAAAAAGTAAAAGTGTCTTTTTACCTGAACTCAAACTAGATTAAACCAAAAAGTAAATTGTATGGCATTTACTAATTAATGGCCAGTTATTTTTTTCTAGGACTCTTGCTTTTTCTTAATTCTGTATTTTTTTGAGCTCATGATTTTGATCCTACAGACTTAGGATTATGTTTTCTGATCAGTTCTATTTTTGATCGACTGTGGACTTTTTTAAACATTGCAATGGAGATTTCACCTGAGAAAAGCTACAAGGCCTTTACTATTGTGTTATGTGTGCACACTTGTGTTATGTGTTGTATGTCTGTATGTGGGTATGTCCATATGTAATACACATGATATGAAGACTGGCAGATATATGAGGAGCGGTCATGAAAAATTAAAAAAAAAAATGGATCCAAGTATCTTTGATTCATGTGATTTAAATGGTTTAATTTAAATTGGGTAAACAGATAAAAGTAAAGATGTCTTTAAAATTAAACTTATAAGTTTTTCTAGGTGTTCAAAAATAGAACTAATAAAATGTTGATGTCTATGAAATAATCTGCCTAAATTCAGAAATTTACAAGTATTGTTTCAAAATGTGAACAGAAAAGGAGGTTAACAGATGGAAAAGAGAAACTAGAAGGTTCTAGGTATGGATTCAATAGAGGGAAAATGTGTTTCTGGATAAGAGAGTCTATGTGATTAAGTTAATAAGAGGGTTTAAGTAAGTGATAAAGAAGGTCTCTGTAAATTGGTTATATGTGTAAGTTTTTTTTGAGCAAGTAACCTTAAAGAAATTAAAAATTATACAACTATGGTTAAACAACAACTGTTATTTTTCAATATTGTAATATGTTATTTCTTTAAAAGCTAAACTTGGTTAATATAAAATCATCAATGTGACTGTGGTGCTATTAATGTGTTCATATCTTCCAGGTATACAAGTCTGTAAGGTAGAAGCTTTAAAAGAGCATTATATCAAGCTGATGTTCTAAAGTTGTATGGTAATTTTAGGCTTAAAAGAAAAACATGTTGGAGATGTATTTATATCATTTGTTTTCTATAACTGGACTTGTTATCAATAAGTTATGTAAAGTTCTATGTTACTTTTTACACTAAGATACAATTTAAATGTATTTTTAAGTTAATGAGAGCCTAATCTCTGTGAAGGTTTTATTGCAAAACACAAAAAGTACTTTGCTACTTTTCTACAAAAGGTTAAAAGCTTTCAGCCTTTCTTTAATTCATGTTTTAGATGTGATGTTATATTGTATGACTAATATTCATGTGAACTTGAGCAACAATTTATGTAGGCTTTGTAAAATGATGTTTAAAAAGCCAAGATCGGCTTCAGAACTATAGTACTTAAGATTTATGAAGAGCCCCGCCTTACCTGAGATAAGGCTCTATGTCCCATCTTACAACTACGAAAGAAGTAGGCCAGATTTCAGTACATTTAAAGTTGTGTCCAAAAGTTGTTTTTTGTCAAGATTACTAGGATCTCAAACAGGGGATATAATGTATAACTCAGCCAAAATTCAAGGTAGCTATTACATGAACTAAATGTTTTTACTCTTGATAATTTTATCTTGTAGTTTTCTTATAAATGGTCTAAAGATTGCCTGTTAATGTTTTGCAGAGGTACTGCTTTAAGAACTCACAACCTGGGTTAATTTAAGATAATGAGTTATCACCTACAGGATAGAGAGATAGACATTAAAGCCCAGTACTCTTAATATAAGACTGTTGAAGTTTATTTGCTGGATGTTTAAGATTAAGTTTTAAAATTAAATTAAAAGGGCCAAGAAAAACAATATTTGGCTCTTGCCCTCTGAGTCAGTCTGAATCCAGGGAACAGGGGACATCTCTAAAGAGCTTTGCAACTCTGGGCCACATAACCTCCCAATCGGGGAGATTAATGAGACCACTGGAGAACAGAAAGCCAATCAGTGCATTTGCTGTGAAGAGGCGGGTCATCAGAGAAGGGAGACATCCCTGATGCTTCTGAGGGAAGCCACATGGTCAAGCAAGGCCTGGACCCATCCTAGCACAAATGGCACTAGCGGAACTGAGAAGCTGCTGTAAAGTTCCCCCAGGACTCCCAGGGAAACTCAGCTGACTGTTCACAATAGATAGAAACAAAAGTCAGTTTGACTGCTTCATCTTAAACACTTAGCAAAGACAGTTAAAACCAAAACACAGCTATTCCTGGGCATTTTAAATAATAATAATAGTTAAATGTAACTTCCAAAAATAAGTAAACTGCAGGCTGCAAAGGAGATTCTTAGGCAGGAATGCCTGATAACTATCAAAAGGAACTGCCAGGGTAGTTTTTAGTTTAAGGCCTACAGCTATTTCTAACCTACACAGGTAGGCTTGGTGTTTGTTAGTAAGATTATCCAGCCCTAAGTAACAGAATTAAAGGTTTCTCTATTAGACACAGAGGTCATACTAGTAAAAGGATTTTGCAAGATCAGATGACATTAAATTATTAAACTGTATCTTAAGGGGAAGGACATCTGTAACCTAAAAGTTAAATGTTATGTTTACAATCCTGGTAACTGGGGAGGTT